CAATGTTTTGAGAGCGAGCATTTACTCGACAAAAAAATGGTGAAAACTTCTGCTGGCGCTTCTAAAAACCCACGCTCCAGAGGTAGATCGATTTGATTTTGTTGTTGTTGTGTTTACCGGTAGTTCTTAGCTTCTTCCGACGAAACAACAGACTGGGGGAAAAATTAACTATATTTTGCTTGCAGTGTTAATGCAGCTAATGTATGGGAGAGGAGAGGCTTAATTAGTACAGAAGTTGAGCTGAGGTTGATTTGGGGGGGGGGGGGGTAAGAGGCGATGAGGCCAGACTAATTATTGGTGTGAAGGGCGGCCAGTCTTCTCTGAGATTGGTGTGAGAGAGAGGTAGACCTTGGTGTAAGATGCTGCATCCCTGGGGATTTTGCTCTTCTCACCCAATCTATCTTACTCACATCCTTCTTCAATTTCAGAAACAGACTCTCTTACCCTTTTCTAACTGCACCGATTTTCATCGGATGCATCCGGACGCATCCGATGAAAGTGCCAGTTAGAAAGCAACAGAGGAGAAAAAGGCGATTAAATAGCCGATGAAAAGAAGAGAAATAGGCGATTAAATTCTCCTGCTCTAGAGCAGGAGAAATTCTCATTCTATCGGTGTGACACCGATGAACCGTGCAGTTAGAAAACGTTCTGGAGAAAAGGGCGATTAAAAAAGCGATTAAAATGGTCAAAGGTCGCAGTATACGCGCGCTTTACCGTAACCAGCTGTGTTTGTTGACTTATGGTTAAACAAGCTGCATGCTAGCTAGATGGAGCGCGGGCTTAATAATTACGTAATAATTCTTCACTTCCGGCGAGGGCTCGCCACAGCGAGTGAATTTCACCGGCAGTTAGAAACCGACAGGGGGAAAACTGCGGTTTCACCTTTGTTTACATAAGGAAAATTCAATCGGTATTTTCATCGGTGTGACTCCGATAGAGTGCAGTTAGAAAAGGGTATCTGTGTCGCTGTGTGTGTATCTCTCTCCCTCCTCCTCTCCCTATCACCCTCCTTCCCTCTCTCTCCCTCCTTCCCTCTCTCTCCCTTTCTCCTTTTCTCTCTCTCTCTCTCCCTTTCTCCTCTCTCTCTCCCTTTCTCCTTCTGTCTCTCTCCCTTTCTCCTCTCCTTCTCTCCTTCGCTCTCTCTCTCTCACATAATCATGCTGCTTGTTTCTCTTTCCCACCTTCTCTCCTATCTTGCTTTATTCTTTCTCTTTTTCTCAGTCTTACTCTCTGTCTGTCTCTCCACTTTCTCTGTGCTAGCACGGTTGTGAAAGTTTATATGGGATATATATGCAAGTAGGCGTATACATGTACTCTCCCTCCTGACGCTCTTCGAATCAGTATGGAAATCTTTGGACAGAAATGGGGAAAGATGAAGAATTGCTTCCTCAATAATTTTAATGTTTATCAGGGATAGGAATTGTTTGAGTTACCTGGATGATATTCAAGTGGGAAAGAATGTTCTATCAAGCCATTTATTTCATGTTGCAAAACGTAATTGAAAGCGTTTTCAACGTACATCCTGGCTATCTGGTCGATCATGACCGTTTTTATTTTTCATTCTTCTCTAGCCCCGGAATCTGCTTAAAGGGTATTAATTACTAAAAACTGAGGTGAAATAACAGCCCTCGTAAATTTAAACAAGTGATGGTTTGCTTGACACCATTGCACAGATCTGCATTGTTTGGAATACAAAATGAAATCCAAATAGCCTGCTGAAAGTCAAACATGTATTTATGGAAGGTTTCAATCCGTGGAGAACTGGAAGAAGACCAAGTGATATGGATTTTATAGAGGAGATGCCTTTATTGGAATAATGATACTGAGAACAATGCTAAAGGCAACTGTTTGATGCAACTGGGTCGATAATATGGCTGTATAGGGATAGAATTACTGCTAAATAATAGACCAAGTTATGTAGGCTGAATACATCTGGTTTCCAATATCCTATCAGCGTGTGCGCTCTTTTCAATTTCTTTTTTAAATTTAAAATATACATGTTGGTGGTCTAATTTCATTATAAATGTATATAATTCATTTGATACAAAATAACACGAAAAAATCTTTGCACTGAAAATATTTGGCAAATTTTTTACTTCTTTTTGGTAAAATCATGTCTAATACTGCTTTCTCACTGGATTCTATCGTAGTCACACCAATGAAAATACTGATTGAATTTTCCTTATGTAAACAAAGGTGAAACTCCAGTTTTCCCCCTGTCGCTTTCTAACTGCCGGTGAAATTCTCTCACTGTGGTGAGCCCTTGCCGGAAGTGAAGAATTATTGCGTAATTATTAAGCCCGCGTTCCATCTAGCTAGCATGCAGCATGTCCAACCATAAGTCAACAAACACAGCTGGTTACGATAAAGCGCGTATACTGCGACCTTTGACCATTTTAATCGCTGTTTTAATTGCCTTTTTCTCCCGAACGTTTTCTAACTGGCCGTTTCATCGGTGTCACACCGATAGAATGAGAATTTAATCGCCTATTTCTCTTCTTTTCATCGGCTATTTAATCGCCCTTTTCTCCTCTGTTGCTTTCTAACTGGCCGTTTCATCGTCCAGAAGATGCGTCCGGATGCATCCGATGAAAATCAGTGCAGTTAGAAAAGGATATGATTTCCTCTTCGATATCTCATCAATATATCAGCCTTTTCACACACAGCTAAAATTCTATAAACATGATTAGTATAAACGTGTTTGAAACGTGTTTAAACTAATCATGAGCCTTTCACACACAGAAATTTCGGTGCGATCGTTAATCGTTTCGTGATTAACTACTGCTCGTAAAATGTGCAGTAGTGCCATTGCGCATTGAAGGTCATGTCATATCAATCAAAGCACACGCTCCATCCAGTTTAAACACGTCTGAAACAGTTTAAACACGAATAACCTTTCACACACAAAATGTCAAGCTCTTTAGATACGAACTTCGTAACTGCAGCCTGCTTTTAGGGGTGTATGGATCGCGACTTCGTATCTATCCCAACATCGTATAAACGATGTTCACACTGGAAAAATTTTCTATAAACATGTTTAAAACTGTTGAGTTAAACACGTTTATACTAATCATCTCTAGATACAATCAATTTTAGCTGTGTGTGAAAAGGCTGCTGCTCTAATCAGCTGACTGAGAGTGGAATGTGGTTTCACACAGTACCTGGTCATTCTAGTTCAGCTTTCATATTCTTAATGAATAGACACTAGAGTATTAGGTTATTATGTGATTAAGTCACTTTATTAATAATCATGATTATTAACAACGGAAGTAATAGTAAATACACTTGTATAGATACTACCAACTACAAAAAAAGGTATATAAAAGTAAATAAGAGAAAAAAATCCCAGGCCATCTTAGGTTTCATATTCTTAATAGATGAAGTATTTGGTTATTTATATGTGATCAAGTCACTTTATAAACAATCTTGATTATTAACAAAGGAAGTACCGGTAATAACACTTGTATAGATACTACCGATATCAACAACAAAAAAGTACCGGTATATAAAAGTAAATAAGAGAAAAAAATCCCAGGCCATCTTAGGTTTCATATTCTTAATAGATGAAGTATTTGGTTATTTATATGTGATCAAGTCACTTTATAAACAATCTTGATTATTAACAAAGGAAGTACCGGTAATAACACTTGTATAGATACTACCGATATCAACAACAAAAAAGTACCGGTATATAAAAGTGAAAAATGGGAAACAGAAAGAGGGAAAAAAAGCCCAGGTCATGTTTTATTATTAACAATGCAGGGCTAATACTAAATAGCATTCATAATGGAATATGTGATATATAATGTACACAAATATTAACGGACATGTTTAACATGTCGTCTGTTTGGGGTCACAAGGGCGTTAAATCCATGTCAAAGTAATATGGATCAATGTCTTTGTGGCTCCCAATAGACGATGTTACATAAAAGTTTGAAATGGATATATAGAATTTAGAAACAATGTATGTGACTGATGTGTAAGTAACATCATAGAGAAAACAAACTAATTTTATCTGAACTCTACATCCATACAAAAGCTGTTGAACGAGTATGAATGATGATTTAAGCATAAAAAGAAACGGGAGCGAGAGGAATGACAGGAAGCAGGAGGAGACAGAAAAAAGAGCAAGAAGAAGAGGAAGGAAAAGAAGGAGAGGGGAGCATTGGAAGGAAAAAAGAATAAGAGAGAGAAAAGGGGGCAAGGAAGGAAGAGAAGAAGAAAAGAAGAAAGAGGAAGAGAGAGAATAAGAAGATGGAGATGAAGAGAAGGCGAAAAAGAGAAGAAAAGAAAGAAAAGAATAGTGCTACAAAGATCTAGTAAATTGAATTTCAGATATCTTAATTAGTCATGGGAATTCGACTGACTTTATTCTATATCATAGTTCTTTCACATTTCTTTCATTTTTTGTCAGTTCTATCATACTCCCATTTCTTTGTTTATAATGCAAATACTTTTATGTGATCTCTTTTGCTCTTTTTGCATTTGTTTTCAAGTGGATTAAACTCATTAAAGGCTTATTAGTCCACTCCAAAATAATTTGCTTTCAATAGATGCAGAATGAACAAGAGAAACAGAGCAAAACAAGTTTGAGGAAAATCGTATCACTAATAAGGAACTAATGAACTTTTTAAAAGTATGAAAAACTATGGAAGAATGAAAATCATTTTCTTTTACTGGTTTGTCTGATTTTTCTGCTTCTATCGAAAGTATGTTATTATAGGAGTGGCCTTGCCATTTAAGTGCCTTACAAATCTCATATATTATTATTATTATTATTATTATTGTTATTATTATTATTATTATTATTATTCTTCCAGGTGGCATATATCTCCGGAAAGGACAATCATTTGACCTTTTAGAAAATTTCATTGGTAATACATGAACAAATGTCTTCTTGGTAATGACCTATCTCAAAAGAAATGTACTTATCTAAATGTATGTCCTTCAGCTGAAAGTTCTGGCATTACATTTTTTTCTTTCCATCTTTTTTTCTGTAGGTTTTTGCTGTGTATAGGAATCCACTTCCAGTCAACCCTGTGAAACATTCTTGCTGGGTCTTCGGAGAAATTGTAGACATTAATGTCCTCTGTGAAGGAAGGTAAGTGGTAGATGTCTTTTGTTCAATTGTTGCTATACTGATTTGTCAAGCCAAGACCTTATTATCATGGTGCTACATGTATGGATGGCAGTAGGCTTTTAGAACATTTTTTTTAGAAGTGTAAGAATATGGTGAGAATATTTTAGTTTTCATCTTCACTGGAGAAATCAAGATTATCTTTTGTAAAAAATTATCTTTTGTAATCTGTCCAGTTAACCTTTGCAGCTCATGTAAAGTTTCGGTAGCATAAGGAAATTGGAAAGAAAAATGTTAAATATAGTCTCATGTTGTATCAAAACAAATGTATGAGGTCACTTGATATTTTATCAATGATTTCTGGTGAATTGTATAAACATCTGCAAGGAATGCTAGATAATATCGGCTTCTTTGTAGAGACAGTGTGCGTAGACCGTAGCATATACAGACAGTTCTTGTAGGTTTTATACGCCTGTAGTGCAGGTTTTCATTGTTAGAAATAGAATTTACATCCCAGGATGGTATCTGAATTACGATCTACCTTTCATTTGTTAAATATATTTCACTTGACGAGGGGAAACTTCACGGCAACTAGTATCTTCATATTCAGCATCTAAAATTACAGAAATTTGACAAAAAGTTTTTGAGGGCTAAGCAGAACTGTACGTACATGACCTTTTACAGTCATTGACGCTGACAACAAAAGGTAAAAGTTATTTTTTTAGCTTCAGAACGTAATAAAATGCAAATTGAAATACAGGAGAGCAGTTACGTATTATAATGAATGTCTGAGGCCTATTTATGGACACGGTAATGGCAATGGTAATGGCAGCCATTGGTAGACGGAGAGTACTTCAGCTTGAATCTGTGAGAGTTTTAACACCTCCCAATGGTGTCTTTTAGTACAGCACTACTTCTATTGTATGCTATATTGCTATAATGGGTAGTGCCCTGAGAGCTCTATAAATAATTTATTTCCCACCCTGTTTTCCAAAACTTTTAAAGAAAATCATTAAAGAAATCTTCTTTAACTTAGTGTATTTTCCTGATTTTATTATTTTATTATTATTTTAATTGGATTACTGATTCAGATTCCAAATCTCTTGTTCCTCAGGTGTCATTGACCCACCATGTAATATATACAGTACATAGTGATCAGTGTTTAGAGCACGAATGAGAAGCTTTCCAAATATCTGGTGCTATTAGTATTTTTTCTGATGATTGTAGTTTGGAGATTTTTTTTAAAAACTTTATATTTTCTCAGTTTGACTTTGAACATTGTGAATCAGAGTGTTAGAAACGGAAGCATTGTTTGTGCTTCATATAAGTTCAAGTTATTATTTTATTAATCATTGAAGTTATCATGCCAAATTAAAAAGAAAACTGAACTATTGAGAAAAAGGATACATCTGATTATAGTGAATGAATACAATTTTGAGTTGCGATAAATTATTGATAGAAAAGCATCCCCAAGAAAAATATGGAAGAAAGTATCCCTAATGTTGACTACAAATAATGGGATTTCTGCAAGATTAATTTGGTAGAATTTTACAAAAAACTACCCGGTAATGATTTTTAGATGGCAGAAAAAATATTATATCACAGGGATAAGTACTGGAAAGAAGAGGAAATCCAGCCAGTCTGCCCAAGCAAGCACACCGTATTACTTCATAATAATGGGGTTTGCCTGTAAAATATTCTGCTAATGATCTCCCTCTTCCTGTGTAAATGGTTGATATTAACACTGCTAACCTACATTAGTGATACCAACTATACATGGATTGATGATCAATACATAATCACTTTCAATTTATTCCCCCCGCTCAGTCTCTCGATCCTCTCAATGGAGAGATGAATGAATGAATGGAAGCTAGGATGATGCTGATAATGGTGCATTCACACATGTGTAAAGATTACACTGCTTGGAGATTGTATTGATCATTTGATGCAATTCATCATAATATTATATACATTTTTTAATGCTGTGCATCACCTATGCAGAATTGGTCGTGTGAAGAAATATTATGTGATTAAACATGGCCTCCAATTCAACCTCTAACGAAATAGCACTAATAGAGTTGATTAAATATTTCCTAAACAGGTACTTTTCACGACTTTCTACAATCTTTATTTTCATACCTGTATATGAATATCATATACATTTTGTAAATGCTGTGCATCACCTATGCAGAATTGGATGGGTGAAGGAATATGTGTGATTAAAATTGGCCTCCATTTAATTCAACCTCTAAAGAAATAGCTCTGATAGAGTTAATTGAATATTTCTGAAACAGGTACTCTTTGTATCTTTCTACAATCTTTAAGTGAAAAAATAGTACTTCTTGAATAGATGTACAGTTTCCCCATTACATGTAGCTGTATGATTAGTTTTGTAGGTCTGTCCGGGTGGGGGGGGGGGGGCAGTATAATCATGGACTTGATCTTGTTCTGTATGACACAAGTCATATTGTAGCTGTGACGTCTTTGTTTCTCCATCTCTCTGTCTTTGAATCACCACGAGAGCAGCCTGTTCCAGAAATGGAACAGAAATGGACCGATGTAATCATCTCCAAAATGCCCAATCTGGGGATTCGGATTGTAGAAAGGATTAACCTAAATAGTAATGTCTGAACATTAGATTGGGTTATAAGGGCACTGTCTGAACACAATGAAATGTATCAGAGCATGGTCTAAGAGCAGAAATATATGTAAAGTTATGAACACACACTCATGCACCAGAACACTATCTTTGAGTATTCATTTACACGTACGTGTATGAACAGTACCTGAAGCACTGTCTGAACGCAAGTATGTGTGCACATGTACAAGGGCTCTAGTGGACTGTCTGAACGCAAGTATGTGTGCACATGTATAAGGGCTCCAGTGGACTGTCTGAACGCAATTATGTGTGCACAGGTACAAGGGCTCCAGTGGACTGTCTAAACACAACTACTCATACACCTCCATACCTACTTACATGTATGAAGGGCACCAGGGCTGTAATCAATAAAGTGAGGCAGTTTGTCCGCTAATTGGCGGGATATAAAGGCATAATGATGAGCAGTCATGAGCTGATTCAAGGCTAGTACATATCTATTCTCTCGGGTTATGAATAAATGAGCGAGCGGGTCTTTTTACCTTGTTCATTTCATTAACCCTTCGCATGCCATTTTAGATTAGTTTGTAACACGTGTTAGTGAGCGCATGCAAAGAGACCTTAAGAAATCCCTCGTTATGTAATGTTAATGTCAACAGGATGATTGTTGATAATTAGTTTAACGAGGTAAGCTACTCCTGTGAGTGATCACATGGTACTCTAACTTTAGTTGGGATTGCCATATCGTCTCTACAGAGCCAGTAGGGCGTTAACTTGTCTAACATAACAAACCATATGAGTTAAAATCCTCTTGGCTACAAGCAGACGGTATCATAAAGTACATCACAGAAAGGATTATTGTCTGTTTAGAGCAGTAAGGGTATAAACTCGGATTTGATATATATATATATATATATATATATATATATGGTTGCAACCATGCTCCATTAGTCTGCCTTATCCAATATATATTTTGCTCTGCCCATTAGCATTGAGCACTGTACGGAGGAATAGACCAAATCTAAGTATATATATATATATATATATATATATATATACATACATGTGTATATTCTGCCTATAGTATAGTATGTCCTTGCCAGGATGAGAAGGTAAGTCTGTGACCATTTATAATTGTTATGATAAAGCTGAACACTGGTGAAAGTAGATTAATTATACATTTGAAAATGCCAAACACTGCAAATTTTAGCAAATTTGTTAATTACTAAAATTTAGTATAATTGTTCCAAAAATAATGTTACTTTTCCCTATAACTAAATTTAAATATATGTAGACAAATATGGCAGTAATTATCTTTGGATTTGATTTCAAGAGAATACTTCTCTTGGGATTTGTTCTTGCTGTCTATACCACTGGATAGATTTTGCAGCTCAGTCCTGAAAATGTCAGCTCTCTTTGTGTCATCATGAAAAGCACACGTATGAGCAAATTGTTTTTATCTGGAAATTTTGTTGTTGTAATTAAAGCCCTTTACTATAAATCCATTGTGTAATCATTCGACAAACATTTCAATTTTATGTTATACAAGATGTAGGAGATGATATTAAAAACATCATTTTTATTAATTCCTTTTGAGACAAAGCTATGCAATTATTAATTATTTAGAATCTAGTATTGTGGATTCCACATTCTTTGTCATCTAAAAGCAAAAGTAAATGAAAATTACCCCTTTCTCCTCCCGTCCGTCCGACATGAAAAGCTCATAATATATGCCTGCATGTAATTAAACAGTGTATACCTCGCACATGAACTGAGGGGCCTCCTACGCTTCGATTTGCCGAGCATAGAAAAATGGCATTAATTTGTTTTTAGTGTAGACAGGTGCAATATCCATTATCTATGATAAGTTCATTGATGAGCGTACGGAAGAATGTGAACCATTTACCAATCACCATCCTATCTGTTACATTTATCTTCATCATGCCATGTAGCTTGCGGCCTGTTCACACGCGGAAAGCTATAATAACATTTAGGATGATAACTTGATCAAGCTTTATGTTATATGTTTTTATTTTCTCCAGTGTGAACTGTGCACTTACATGTATCTTCACCATGTCAGATAGCTTACACCCTGTTCACACGTGGAAAGCTATATAACGTTTAGGATAACGTACTATATGTTACATGTATTTATTTTTCTCCTGTGTGAACTGCATTTATCTTCATCGTGTCGGATAGCTCATAGCCTGTTCACATGCGGAAAGCTATAATAACATTCAGGACGGTAACTCGAACTCTATATAAATTGTGTTACATGTATATATTTTTCTCCTGTGTAAACTGTGCATCGTGAAACATGGTACATAATTTGTACTCAAATAAAGCTTTAGGTGTGGTTTTGTAAGAGATGTCGATTAAAAAGGAAATTAGGGTCAGCTGACTCAACTCAATTTGGGAATATTATGATATCTACTATACAAACATGGACAAATATCTGGTACAAGTGAGCAGTTCCCTTCCAAAAAGGGTTTGATGTTTTTCTCATGTACCGTATGCCTCTGCATTAAAGACTTTCAAAAGTAGAATCATGAACAAAAGAGTAATTCATGTTTTGGAAAACTAGTAGAAAGCCTCACAAGCATTGGACTCAAATTAGAATGTATTATGAGGCCCTACAGTATGTACTGTACATTTTGATGTGTGAGATAGAGATCATTACTTTAACTGATTGACATTGTTTCCATGGCGACACAAATCTTCTAAAAAAAGTTGCTGTCATGTCTTGAAAGGATCATTAAAGTACAGCCAGGATAAATGGTAAATACTAGCTGATCCAGCCTAATTCACTTCTAATCTTCTTTACTAGATACCAATATTACAAGTCATCATTTGGTAAAGCAGAAAGGAAGTTTCATTGATCTACATGAATTATTCTCTGACCTGTTTCTGCTCTCTTTCTGCTTTCATTGGATTTAAAGGGAATCTCGACTTCTAGTAATGGCAGAAAATAAAATGTCACAGATTCACACCAAACTTGCAGTTACACTGAATGTACTGCAATTAGTGATAATTTCCACATGGATTTGGTAGAAAATGTACAATTGCCAAGTAGTAATGATCAAACGAAAGAGAGAATAGTTTAGCTAATTGTCCTGACCAAAGAGAGAGAGCAATTATATAGGCCCAACAATGGTTTTAACATATCTTGCATGGTAAACTATTAAAGAAAGCCAAGATTCTTTAAAAAATGCAAAAAAAAATTAACTGTAGTCAACAAAGCTTCAGGTCAGTTTTTACGCTGATAAACTGCTGAAAACCTTGTTGTTTTGAAAAATTGGTTTGTTATCTTGTTGTGCTTTATTGAAAAGCACTGTGTGTTGACAAGAAACTTCAAGAAAAGCATAGATTTGGATAATTGCCTTAAAACTACTACCTGAAAATCTATTTAATATTTATTTTGGGGTTTTCCCACAAGAAATTATAGAGTCTGTAGGGGGGACTACACAATGTCTCTCTGCAAAATGTGATTTTTCTTTTCAGTCTTGTTGGCACAGGAAAAAAAAAAGATGACCTATTATTTCTTGAGTCAGAAAAACTGAGTAGTCCTTAAAAGGACTGATCACCTGGGTATTCTTTTGTGGCAGGCTGTTTTGTGGAGAGATGTGTTCGTTCTTAAAAGAACTGTTGACTAATTCTTTCATGGGTATATAGTTCTGACAAGAACTTGTACATGTAGATCTTTCAAGAAGATCTTGTCAGAAAGTTTTTGACTAACTTGACTAAAATTTAATAAGCAATGTATTTTGATGCCCCCCTTATTGCCAATAATATCCTTTGTACCACTTAAGTAACTGAATGCAAGTAACTTTCTGATTACAATAAAGAATATGTTCAGGCTTATTATTTGTCTCTCTTGATCTGCCGATGACAATGGTTACTCGTCATCTTCATGTGTTCATAAACACTATCAATCCAAAGACTTCATGACAGTTGATGTTCATGCCGCTTGTCTGCATACCTTCATGTTTCAACCATCCATGCATACATGTAGGTCTCTGTCTGTGTCTATCTTTGCCAGTGATTATGAGTTGGATGGGTGCGGTGAGCCTGATGGAAGTGGGGGGGGGGGGGACTTCCTGACCCCACGGTTCCCCCTCCCTACACGTCGCGCTCGCTGCTAGGCAGTTGTAACCGTCATGTATCCCCTCACGTAGGGTCCAGGAAATGAGAGAAGTGTAGAGCTGTCAGCACTGTGGCTCTCTGTTAGACTCTAGTCCCAGCCGTAAACAGTTCCTAGACCCTGATTCAGATATCCATGTTCATGTACTTATTTGAGTCACTTGATGGCACCATGGACCTACTAGGTCCATGATTGCACAGAGACGTGTTACTCAATATGTGCTCCAAAGACATTTCATCAAAGATGTTGGAATAGGGTTAGGACTTGGGTTTTAGGTAGTTTGTGTTCAGTGTGTTTTAGGAATGAATGGAGCGTTGGGTCCAGGAATAGATTTAATCTCTCTATTTATTACTTTTAAAGGTAACTGTACTCTTCATCATGTTGAATTGTTGATGTTGTTGTAAAACTAGTTGAATTGTTTTTTGATGTGATAGAATGTATGAAAATATATCCCTAGAAAGTTTGAAGAAAAATGATTGGAGTTTAATAATATTGAAAGTAAGGGAAAAATCAAGTTGGTTTTTGTATCTGATATTATGTCGTTGTCAGTTGTCACTACCAGCTTAAAGTCAAAGAAATAGCTTGAGAATGTCCTTATCAATTTTGCTTCCAATTTTCTCTCTGGTCAAATTCTTCAATATCTATTTTGAAATAGTATAGGCCTACCTCCAAATTGTAACTATTTGTGGTTCTTATTGAACTTAAAGGGATCGTTTAACAATGTTAAATCTGAGATACACGGCCCTACGTGTTATCAGTGTCTGTGATATGGTGTAATATCGAAGCCCTAAAAAAATTGCGCTTCAAAATGATCAAGAAGTGCCTGAAAAAAGTAAAAATCTTTGAGTGACTGGTTTTACCATACCTGTTTTCCCCAATAGACTGTACTGTTATGAAAACCGTTTGGTAAACGGTTTTCAAAATTTGTAATTCCAATCATAAATATCTTGATAATCGGACAGGCGATCGGCTTGTTAAAGTCATGGGGTTCCTGACTGACCTTTAGGTTTATAATTATCATTGCAACATGAGCTAAATCCAGAATTTCGTTTCAGAATCTGAGACAAAGTTACCGGATCCCTTTAAAGGGAAATCAGTTATTATTCATGCATTGGTTACATGTAGGTGTTAATAACTGGCCCGGCCGCTCAAGGAAGGCACCCTCCAGTCCTTTAATCTGATTATTTAGTTTACCGTCTGTCACATTCCAAGCTTGTTGCGCAAGTGACTGTTGTTGAAGACTAGTTCACTCCACAAACTGTGTCCCAAGTTGAGATAGGCAGGGAGGACTAGCTAGCCTAAATCATATCCCAGTTATACTTCTATACATGACCCACACAGAGTGCTATAGTTCTCATACAAGTTTGACTCCCTTCTACAACTTTCCAATGGTGTTATCTTTCTCCTGCAGTATAAAGCCTTTGGACATTTAATTCTGGACTACCATCTGATGTAGATTGACTGAATTTGGTGCAAAGAAGAAACAAGGTAAGATATTTCAACGCAGCCTATTTTGCCTATAGTATGAGTCAGTGATTACTGCCGATTTGGTTTTTCTTTAGTAGTAGGTAATAGTGTTTTGTGGCTGTCTGCCTGAGTTGGCCAGCCAATCCGTCACATACAGAAAGAACCCATGATTCAATCATTGTAGGTTGTATTAAAGTTGAATGCCTTATGGTCAATGCAGACTAGTAATAGTGTAAGCAAACATATATATACTTTGAAATAGAATACTGAAATAGAGCTCCTGAAATAAGATATGTTTTTTTGCTGCTAGGAGGGATTTAAAAAAGAGAGTAATTCATAGAGTTAAAAAAAGACTGAACATTATTTGAAAATATGTATGACAGGAAGTGAAGTTGATATGTTTCCTATCAGACCAGATTTCTGAAATCTAAGCCTATATGAACATTCCTTTTTGTAATGAACTTTAATATTTGCATGAGTTAGAACAGGAGTCCAACTAGTAGCATATACAGTGAATTTACATTGAAGGTACTATGTTAACTTGGTCATGAAATTATTGAAAAAATGAAAATGTTCCAGAGTACCAATAGACTTGCAATGTAAAGAAAGAAAGGGGGAACATGAGGGGGAAAATGAGGGGAAAACTGAGGGGAAAAATGAAAGAAAAAACCCTGAAAGATTAATTAAAATGATTAACAATCTGTGAGGAAATAACTTCACTTTAGTCATATCCTTAGTTCTGTTTATCCTGTCTTTTCTACATGCGTTGAATAGTACCTTCAATGCGATCCTCACTAAAATAGCCATACAATCATATACTAATAATATATATTTGGGACATCTCAACCTGAGGACATTGAACCTTGCATGTATTTCAGTGTCCTTGACCATGTTTGCAGGGGATAAATGTTGGCAAACCAGTCAGCTAGATAAACAACTGTCAGTGTTTTGTATTTAGTTGAGTATTTTGTTTACACACAAGATCTACCTCCTGAATTTGTCACTGAGCTTAGGAATAAACATCTAGACAGCATGCCTACTGGTAATTCAGTACCTACAGCATTCATACATCATTATACTTACCAGGACAAAGAAAGTGAAGGGTTACTTGAAACGATAATATGAGTTCTTGGAATTTTGGTTTTCATTGACTTCAGTGGGAGAAGTCTTGTTGAATGAACGTAATGTAGTTTCAAGGACCTCCTGTTCTTGTGGAACATTACTTCAGCATAAAATGATGATGTCATCTTATCAAACCAAACCTATTATAAAAGAAGAATACCATTTAATTTTTTAAATCATTAGAATATTTTAGAAACTTTCCTTGAAAAATGATGTCATCTTATTTTGATCAGTCAAACCAAATCTATCATAAATAAGAAATACCATTGAATTTTTCAATTCATAAGTATCTTTTTTAACTTTCCTTGAAAAAAGCAATTTTACAGCAGAATATCAGACACAATAAAGGAAGAGATGAACTACTATCTTTCTTGCCCCGGTGTGACATTGATCTTGTAATGAAGACATGGTTTGATCTCTCAGCTTTAGAGACAATATCTGTCAGGTCGACCGTTCGGTGCCACCTCTTGTAATTGATGCTAACATTCTTCTTTTCTGCTCTATATTCAAAGGGCAATCCAATCCTTGTAATAAGTTGATTTGAATGAAAGCAGAAAAATAAAAGAAACAGAAGGCCAAAAGTTTGAAATGAATCGGACCAATCGTAAGGAAGTTATGAACGTTTGAAATGGGAGATCACTAAGGGCGCGTTCATGCTTGATGTTGACGGCCAGAATCAGGCATCTGTTACGCGTTTAGTTTAAAACACGCTTGCGTTCATGCTCACTTTTTTAGAATCACAGAAAAACGGCGATCACGATCACCGATCGTAAACTCACAAAAAGATGCGTTTACAATTTGTAAACACGTTTAAATGGGGTCAACGCACTGACCTCTAGTGGGTCTACGTAGCATGCGCACACAGGTTTGCGAATCCAGCTGAAGGCCACCCAAGGAGAATTGCCTGGAGAAGTAAGCATGAACACTACATCGTGGAACTGCGATCACGATGAGCGTTTACGAAGAGCGTTTCAGATCGCTCATTCTGCCTTCAAAATTTAAGCATGAACGCAGCCTAAGTCTATGCGAATCTCAAATTGGTAGTTTGGTCAGTGGATTGTGACGTAGGACGTGGATAACTCTCCCATTTGCTGTGTACAAATATTGCAAGTCATTTTCTAAGTTCCTTCTCCCTTGGGACACTACTCAAAATGTTTTATAGATAGTATATTATCATAGGTCCTCTAAAAAGAACAGATCCTCCTGAGACATAAATTTTTGTATTTTCTATAAGAGAGATATTTGTCAGTTGTCACTTTTCAAAAATGAAAATATGAAAATAACCCTCCTTTGTTGTAATGCAACTGCTAATATATCCCTAATACAAATTTGTAATCAACAGATATTCTCACATTATGAAATCTGACACAGGTAGATTTTGCTACACAATTAGAAATAAACCATATTCTTGTGAAAGTGAGAAAAAAGAGAAGAACTCACTTTCAGGTTCTACAAGGAATCTTCATTAGTGTATACATGTGTATCACTTTCAGTTTTGCATTACAAAATTGTTAATTAGAATTTTGAGGAATATAGAAATCGCTAGATCAGTTATTTTTCCTTCTTCTCTTTCATGTTTGGTTTGTGTTGGAAGGCTTGTTTGCAGATTCTTTTGTCCAGCATGGATTCATTACCATTCATTTATTTAAAACGTACAGATAGACATATCAGATATCTAATTGGAGAAGTAAAGCTATAGGAACAGTTGAAATACTATTCCATTTCTCCATATAGTTTTGTTGCCATGAAAGAAGATTTGATTTCATGCTTCACCGTCATTTCTCTTGTATGGATGTGTGGTTTCATTTTTCAGCGGAATGAGTGAGGGAGAGTGAGATATCAGATGTCTTGAAGATAGTTGAATGTGGTAAGAAGTATGATAGAAATGATATATTCAGTGGGGTTTCATGGAAAGCAGTGCATGAATAATGTAGGTAGGATGATATTACATATATATGGAGCTCCCCAAAGTAACTGCTGATGAATATGAGGTCCTTGACATCATATTTGTGGACTATCTTTCAAGATTTGGAGAAATGTGTTGTTTCTCAAATTGAATCATTAAATTGACATGAAAAGGGTTTGATAAGGAAAGAGATTTGATAGGGAAGGAGATAATTAACCCTTTAATTTTGTTTGTCTATGAGTATTTGAATGTTGTTGTTGTTATTGTCTAAGGAAGGATGTTGATCGGGGATACTGTTTCAAATGATGTGTATAGTGAGTAGCATATTGATGTACATTGTGTTATGGTCAATATCAACATGGAACAAGGGCAGTTTGGCTTCTTTTAAGTTTTAAACAAGTAATGAATTTTCATATCAGCTTTCCAGAAGGGCCTTAAAGGTAAAGACCAGTTCTGGTTATGCGATTGCATTGTGAAAGAAACGTTGTGGAATCGATCAGAAAATGTTGATCATCTAGCATATAAGTATTGGTGTGTACTGCAAGGTTCTGGAATCATCAAAATGATAAGAAATTTGGCGCAGTCTTGGTATAGTTACAAGCACTGTACACAGAAAGATGTATATGGGACTATACGCACACGTGCGCGACACTTGCGCGACACGTGCGTTTATCTCTCACAGACCATGTAGATAAACTAATTTACCAAATATATCAATTAGTAGGCGGTTTCCTGGCAACATTGTTATCATCGTGTATAAGTCAAAACATATTCTTTCACATGATTGGTAATAAGAGCTTCCATTTCATTTTTTGAAATTGGGGCGTTTCCAATACTGGTCTTTACCTTTAACTCTGGGTTAAAATGTATTAGTTAATACCCTTTTAGCTCTTGGCAGATAAAATATTAATTTACTATAGAAAGAAATGTTTTGTTGAGAACCAGAAGGGCGTTAAGCCTGATACCGGTAGTTGTTAATGCGCTCTACTCAATAGATGATAATATATACAGGTATATGAAAAGAAACTCCTTAATGCACTGAACATGATATCCTCTTTCACATTATGATACAATGTTGATACAATGTGAAATGTTGCCATCAAATTTTTGGCAAATTTGGGGCTCCCAACTCTTTAGAGGGCCTTTAAGCGCTTATTTTCTTCTCAACATTTTCTCTCTAGAAATACCGTCCCCCGGTCTAAAGGGGGGGGGGGGTGGGGGTGATGGTGGAGAGGGTAGAGCCTTCAATTGTCAATATGTTGTGCTTGATGCATCATCATGACAGGGTTTATGTCAGTTGGTTACCTGAACCTTTCATACTGATTGATTGAAAGCACACACAGAAAGGAAGCGTGAAAGGGGTCAGTGAATATTCGGAACGAACGGAAGACCGAGAGCTTAAGAACCTGCATGGATTTACCAACTCGAATTGAGCAAATACTAGATCACGGGGCATTGTAGTTTATCCCAAGGAAATACTTCCACAATAATATTGTGAGAAAAAGGGTTGGCTTCCTCTCCCAAAGTCATGACAGTTGTAACCTAAAGGGTTTTATATCTCTGTATATGATCATATGCTCTGAACAATTTCAGCTCATATATACTGTGTCAGTGAATCTATGGTGGCTGGGAAATGTATTCCAATATACATAAACTTGGCTCTTTTATATATGTAGCTCATTGAATGATGATTAAAGTGGGCGTTTTTATGTTATCACTACATGTATCTATGATCATCTTCAACCATCAGAGAATGAATAAAGCACTTAAGGCTTGTCCTCATCAGACCGAAGTTGCAAAATAACCTGCTATTCTAACTATCTTGATCTCAAATTAGCCAGCTAATTTGCGTCATCATCACCCCGCAGCTGCAATTAGCGGGCTATTAGGTCGAGAACATATCCAGAGAAATGTTGGTCTTGTTTCCAAAATAGTCCGCTATTTGCGCCCGTCCGAGCTATTTTGTGATAAGCGTATCGGTCTGGTGATGACG